ATTTAATTGCCATGAAAGCCGTGCCAGCTAGGAGCAGCAGGGCAGGGATTTTTCATGGGAGCCAGGCAAGGATCACCACCACGAAATGACACCCATAAAAACGCTTCCCCTCTTCCAGCTGACTCTACTAACTAGTTGCTCAGCACATAATGGGATTACTTCGGACTAATTGCTTACCATAATGGATTACTATTTTGAAGTGCATGCCTGAACTAATTTGATTACTTGTCTAGCTGAAAAGTAATAATAGTTTATAGCCAGTTTCTTTTCTTGATAATCTTGTTAGTAGCCTGCAGCTGCACTGCTCTGTGCCACATCGTGCTCAGGCCTGGAGCACTGATGGCTCTGACGCCGGCACTGATCAGCACCGAACCATTCTGTGGCTCCAGCTCTGGAAGAGGCCTCACGATGTCCAGAGCCCCTTGCCAGTGCCGTGCCATCTGCTGAGCTGAGCAGCACCTGGGAGATGGGTGCTTCACAGAGTGCTCCGGCTCCACAGTGAAGCCTGGGGAGATGGTGGTTTCAGAGAGGGTCCAGGCTGTGGCACACAGCAGCATCTGAGAAGGGAAAGCCTGTGGGGCTGTTGGTGTGGGTGAGCCACAGCTTTTTGCCTGTATATGGATCCCTTTGTTCCTTGGCTGTGAAGTGGCTTGGTCATCAAAAGGGGCCTCACTGCACCTTCAGATCCATGTCCCGCTCCAGAGAGGAGCTTTCCTGACACTGACTTTCCAGTGAGAAGGTCCTCACCCCAGTGTCCAGAGCAGCTGTGCAACTCAGTGCTTTCCTTCACCACAGCTTTACTCTGAGCTCTTCAGAAGCACAGCCAGAGGCAGTCACCCCCACCCCACCCCTTTTCTCTTCTTCACTATAGAGATGCCCAAAATGTCCATCACCCCCATACCACTGACCCAGAGACAGCTCCCTGTCCTTTCCCAAACTCAGTGATTTCCTTCACCACAGCTTTACTAGAAGCACAGCCAGATGCAGTCACCACCACCCCCCCCATTTCTCTTCTTCACAACAGAGATGCCCAAAATGTCCATCACCCCCATACCACTGACCCAGAGACAGCTCCCTGTCCTTTCCCACATGGGGGACAAACCCACCCATGACCTGATCATGCATTTGGCAGCCAGCTTGGAGACCATGAGAGTTACCTTCAGCTTCCTCCGGGCATTGAACTTCTTCAGGCAGTCCACTGTCTCCTGCCTGTGCATGCATGACGCCACAGTGGCACGGTGCTGGGAGGAGAGAGACCGGGCTCAGAGTGGGCACCGAAGGGGAAGGGGCTCCCCTGGCCCCTCTCTCTCTCTCACACACACACACACACACACACATGGTCTGCTGCAGCCAAGGCATGGGCCAGAGCTGCCTGCAGCAGCAGATAAAACTTTTGTAGGCAACCAGAGACCGGAGCTCTGGAGTCAGCAGGATCTGCTCTGGCAGTGGGGGGGAGGGGGGTTGCAGGGAGAGCCAGCTTGCCCCCCGAGTTAACCCCTTGACTGACTGGCCACGTCTAGCACTGTGCTCAGGGTTTGCACGTGGCCTGGGGTCCCAGGGTTAAGCTGTGGACTCCTCCTGCCTTTGGGAGCCAGTTGCGAGTGAGAACTGGCAGTGGGAGCAGCAGGGAGCAGCGAGGGCTGGGGGGATTGCTGCTGAGGTGCATGGATGGATAAACACCAGCCTGCTCCTGCTACCCCTGAGGAAAGGTCCTCCCAGTGCAGCACGACACCAAGAAACCAGCCTATCCCCACCGGGGCTGGGAACATGTGTGTCCCTCCCATCACCAGCTCCCCCAGGACATGCTGTTTGCATTCACACTCCAGGTTTTTCTCTGCTGTAAAGCCCTGGGGAAAAGGCTACGCTGAGAGCACTGGGAGGAACCATGCCAGGAAACCATCTTCCCAAAATGAAGAGAAGAGACAGACAGCATGTTTGGTAACGTGCTCCCCAGTGAGATGTTCTCCCCCTGTGAATCCCCACACCTCTAGACCTGCAGCCCCCACCAGTGAGTGCCACCAGACTCACCGAAATCCAGGGGTGCTTCAGAGCCTCTGCTGCCGTGATGCGCTTGGATGGGTTTATGGTCAGCATCTTGTTGATGAGATCTTTTGCTTCAGGAGTGACTGTGTCCCACTCAGGGGATGGGAACTGCCAAAGCAAAGGGACCGGGGTGAGACATTGCAAGGAGCAATAGAAAGAGCAGAAGACCTTTTGCACTTGGGGTGCTTCGCCTGCAAGCCTTTGCTCCTGCCCATGGGACAGGTTGGAGAGACAATAGCAACTGGAAAGAGCTGCCAGCTGGAAAACTGGAGAGCAGGGGAGGAGGGAGAAAGGTGAAAGGCCCAGGACAAGACCTATCTGTCCTGCAGAGTGGACCTGAAACATGCCAGTGTGTGCACCTGGGCATGGCAGCTTGGCCAGCTCTCTGTGACCAGAGGAAAGAAACTCTCTCGTGCCTCTCTAATTTGTGTCCCGGTTGCTCTTCAGGAGCAGCAAACTGCAATGTGGGGACAGCAGGAGAGAGGGGAGACAGTGAAAGGGGAGAGCAAGACAAACCCACTCACATCATAAGCCCCAGCCTTGATCTGCTGGTAGAGTCGGTGCTGGTCTTCATCCCAAAAGGGTGGGTACCCCACCAGCAGGATGTAGAGGATGACGCCTGCCCAGAGAGGAGACATGGGATCAGTGGGAGACAGTTCATTGCTGGAGGTATGAGCAGAACCAACCTGGGGACTGGCCCAACTCAAGCAGAGAAACAGAGAAACTAGAGAAACGGGAGGATTTGCACCCTGAGTAAAAAGCAAAAGGCTCATTGGTGAGTCCAGCTCCATGCTGGCGTGCTCAGTGGCTGGGGAGATAAGTGGCCACCATGCAGAGCCCCGAGACAGGTGCCCCAGCAAGGCTGGGAGATGCCTCCTCCCCATCACTGGAGGAAGCAGGCTCCCCCACGGCTGCAGCTGAAACTCCACCAGCACTGCTGCTGGCATCTCCTTTGCTGGGGGCTTTGGGTGCAGAGCAAGGGGGCTGATCCTTCAGAGGAGGGTGCCACTGGACTGGGAAAGAGGGCACTTCTCTGGAAACAGCCTGGGGTAGTGTGCCACCTCTTGGGTAAATCCTCTGCTCTGACCTCCCTGAGACACATCTAGCAATTACAACTCAGGACATGGAATCACAGAGTGGAAGGGACCTTAAAGATCACCTAGTTCCAAACCCCGTTCCACAGGCAGGGGAACCCGTGGGTTGCTCAAAGCCCCATCCAGCCTGGCCTTGAACACTTCCAGGGAGGGGGCAGCATGCTGGATGAAGAGCCTGCCTCACCCCACATCGCCCAGCCCAGCCCGCTCCCAGCATTTCAGCCCTGGTCCAACTTACCACAAGCCCACAGGTCCACAGCTTTGCCATAGGGGTCCTTCCGGAGCACCTCGGGGGACAGGTATCCCGGGGTGCCAGCGAAACCTGGGACAGACAGCTTGTCACAGGCTGCTGGCAGGCAGCCCCTGTGCCTGCCCTGCTCAGCAGCAGCACCTGGTGCCTGGCAGGGCAGTGCAAGCACCGAGAGCCTGTCCCTGGCATGGAAGGACCTGGCAGGACAGGCACCCTCCCTCCAGAAGCCCCTGTGACTCCTGAGAGCAGAGCAAAGCCCAGCCTTCTGCCCTTGGCAGCAGCCAAAACCCCAGGATGGTGAGGAAGGCTGGAGTGCTGTGACATGCACGTCTAGCTCTTGGAAGAGGCGCTCCTCCCCCAAGGTGTGCCCCTGTTGCTGCCTTGTCCAGCTCACCAGGACATCTCAATGACTCACCGAGTCCCTGTGGAGCTGTTTGTCCATACCCTGGATCAACTCTGGGCTGTTTCCAAGGGCACAGTTGGAGCCATCAGCCTCCTCATCCACTGTACCTCCTAGGCTGGTGCTGCCGGGATGCCCCCGTTAGCTGGGATTCAGGTCCTGGGTCTGTGTGTCCCTCCTGGAGTCCCCCCCTGACCAAACACGAGGGCTGGAGGGTGCCCCACCTTCAGCCAGTCCTACTCACCAAACCATGCTTGCTGGTCCCCCTCCACCTCGATGGCAAGGCCGAAGTCAGCCAGCTTGACGGCAGCACCCTTCAGCTTGGAGGCCAGCAGGAGGTTCTCGGGCTGCAGGAGGAGATGGGGGTTGGAGAGGAGTGAGAGCCCCCAGGGCTCTGCTGTCACCATGGCACCAGCTTCCCAGCTCAGCATGGAGGAAGATCAGGGCTCTGGGTGTGCTCCCCAACTGTGCTGTCCTTCTGTGTTCTGGTGTCCCCAGATCCTTAGATGACCCCAGACTACAAGAACCTCCCTACCCACTCTGGTGTTGTTTCACCCTGGAGCTCTGTGGCCTTCCAGAAACCCTACATGGTGTTCCTTCCCGCTGTTTCAGATGCCCTGGAGAACTCTGGGCATTGCTCCACAAGGTTTTGCACCACAGATGGGGTCCTAGTCCTCCCACAGACACTTCCCCTGCAGCTCCTACCTTCAGATCTCGGTGGACCACCCCCATCTGGTGGCAGTGCAGGACAGCCTCCAGGATCTGCTGGATGCAGTGGCTGTGGGAGAGAGGAGAAAGCTCACTGAAGTTCCTTAGACACTTCTACCTGCCTGTGTTTCACCTTCTTGCCCCTCTCCCCATCATGCTTCCCAGCAGCAGCCCTGCAGCACAGCTCAGTGACAGACCTCACCAGAGCTGCGGGACACCCAGTCATGGTGAGCAGGAGCATGGGGTCTATGGCTGAGCCCATGGGGTCCCCACAGAAGCATGGGACTGGCAGTGGAGTTGCAGTGCCAGCCCAGCTTTGGTCTCCAGACCCAGGCAGAACAGATGTGCTCCTCAGATGTAGAGCAAACCTTCACGTCAGCCCCGTTTCCCTGGTCTCCTCTAACACGGGTGGCTCTTGTTGCATCTCTTTGCTTTAGACCTAGTTCATTAAACCCCAGCTCTGCTGCTTGCATGAGAAAGGAAGGGAAAAAAAACGAGACAACGATCACTTCTGCTCCAAAACAGCTGCGTGCAAAGCAGGAGGTCGTTATTTACTTGTATTTTATTTGTATGACACTAATAAGTGGATGGGTTTTAAGTGGACTCGGTGCAGGCAGCCCATTAAAGGAGATTGCCTTCTGCCCTGAAATAAGGGATATTTCCATGCAGACAGAGGCAGCAGTGAGCTTACCACCCCCTTGGACATTTGTTGGGGCTATGCCTATCCTGGGGTCAAGGCCAAGAGGCACAGTGATAGCTGAAGACTGGAAAGGGCCAAATCATGTCCCCTCAAAAAAAAAAAAATTAGGCTAGTGCTGTTCCCTGGCCGAGCTGCATGGTCCAAAGAGGTGCCTGAAACAGTTCCCAGCCCCCTGCCAGCACTGCAGGGTACCTGGAAAGCGCCAGCGGGAGCGTAGGAGGGAGCAGAGCTCCATCACATCCTCCCACCCAGCCTGTCTTGACTGCTCCTCCTTAGTGCTTTCAAGTGGTAAAAGCCAGAGAAACGCTTGCAAAGGACTGTAATGCAGCTGCAAGGGGAAAGGGTGAGGGCTGTGGGGTGTCCGTGCTGTCACCCTCCCAGCTGGGGCACCAGTCTGATGTTAGGATTCCTCCCTGCCAGCCCAGGGAGCCCAACTGCCCCCAGCCCAGGGAACCCAACTGCCCCCAGCCCAGGGAACCCAACTGCCCCCAGCCTGGGGAGCCCACCTGCCCCCAGCCTGGCGCGC